AACTAGCTTAAAGTTTGTCCGGTTTTAAAACATGGTGCAAAATCTTTTCTTTCTGAAGAGCTGTTTCCTGAATCTTGGGGTCATACCTGAACAGTACCTCGTGTGACCCTGTAGTGCTTAAGTAATACTACGATAGTTACCTTATATAGTCCCAGTCAGATATTATTCTCGTTACGTTGAAAACAAGAAAAAAGCCCTCCTTGTCTGGAGAACTGCATGTTTCATATTTCTTCCCGTCTTACTGTCTATGGCTGTCCTTCTAGCTGAGATCTTTCTTCCACAGTATTTTAAAGCTACTAATTGCATGCCTATATTATGAAAGTTGTTGGCCTTAACCATGCCTTCCCCCCATCACAGGTGTTTAATGAACGCATCCATTATATTTGTATGTGTCCAGTATCTGAGCATAATATTTTCCACTTTAGATGACCAAGTTGTAATCTATGTTGCTGAATTGAGTAAAGGGTTTTGTAGCTAGTCCGTGTTGCATTCAATTGTAGTTGAACTAGACAGTATTTAGATGCCTTATTGTAATTGTAACTAGCTAATATTATTTAAAAGAGAAACAGTAGATTTCGGACTGCGTGCTTTGTGCATGAGGTCAAAACCTATTAACCACAGTAGACTTTCTGTTACTTTGTTTGTTTTTAATCTTCTGGTGTGTTCTACAGGCATTCACAGAGGGGGAGGGAGGTGTATGAAGTTTCTTTCCCTGAATACTACTTCTGCCATAGTGAAATCTTGCTTTCAGCCTTTTAACCAGAAAGAACTTCTTTTAACCATTTGTTAAAAAAAAATAAAAAAAGAAAGGTAGCAAGGCATCTTGAGCTAATGGGAAAATAGGGGGGGAAGAGTACAAAACCTAATTTGTTACTGGAAAATAGGTGGGGCTTTTTGGGTGTAGTTGTTTCAGAAGTTTTTAAGTTATTTTAATGGTTATCTAGAGGTGTCATAACTTTGCCTAAAGAGCATCTCAAACCTACAAGAGTTCGAACTAGTGCTGGGAAATCCAGGTTGGCCCTTTCAGCAGACATAACCTTTTAGCTACTGGAGCACTAGGAGCACTACACTGCTTGTGTGATTTGCCTTGATGTAGACATGCCTCTCTCTGCTTCAGACTAACCTCTTGCCCCAAGCTTGCATCTGCAAACTGCACTTTGGAGTGGAATGCTAATGGTCCCAGCCTTTTGGGGAGGCAACAGTATGTAGGTTCTGTTAAATCGTGCTTGTGTTTCATTCCCCCTCCTGCTCTCTGAACATTAGAAACTAGAAGTCTAATGTCATATTTGACCACCAATTGCTCCTTTCATGACTTCCTATCTGGAGTTTTTCCTGTATGTAGTCAGTTTCAGTTTATGGGACTGCAGGATAGAGACAATGAATCAAGTAAAGGGCTTGTTAGGAAAATTGGGAACGTGAACTCTCAGAATTTATCATAGAATGGCACCAGCACCATAGGTGACAACCGTAAGAGTTAAAGGAAACTTGCCAATGGGTGAGAGTACTTGAAGTTTGAGAAGAGATTAGTTTTAAAATATATATTGGTTAAGCTTGCTGGCTTTGATCTCTTGAAGCAGTGTATGAACAGGAACTTCTGACTTACAGTCAAAGAGAAGTCACCTCCCTCCAAGAGCAAGCCACTTTCTTCTGTCAACGTTGTTGCTCATTGGCTGTTGGAGGAAAAAAGAGGACTGCTTCTGTGGGGAGAGCGTGACCTTATATTGTATTAAAGTATGTATGTAAGTATATTCTAACGGTGCAGCTTCATATTGCAGTTAAGTCAATCTGACGGTTACCTCTATAAGAGGTGGTCATCATTCCCCTGCCTGTCACTGACGCTGGGCTTCTGCCTCCTTTATGTTGTTGTTGCAGAAGGCCAGTTCAGAGAGTTGAATGGGCAGAAAACTAAGCTTAAAATGGGGTAACTTATAGCTCCCCAAGACAATTCACTAAAGGAAAAGAGGGAAGGGATGAATCTCCTCTTTTGGCCATTAGATTAGCTGCAGTAAGAAAAATACCCATCAGGGTGGACTTCCATTGGCAGCTGGCTGCTGTAAGGTTGTGCCGCCGTTGAAACAAGTGGTCTTGCTGTTCCTATCCAGTTTCAGCCATAGCTGTGAGCTGGATCTGATTCTGATTTGGTAGAAGGCTCAACTTCAAACAATCCCTCCCCATAAAAAACAGCCCAAACAATCTGAAAAGAAACCCAGTTGAATCAGCAAGCTGATTTGTTTCATCCCTCTGGCAGGAATCTTTTGGCAGCAACAGGTAGTTTGAGCAGTTTGTGCTGACTGAGAAATGGGGAAATTAGATTGAAACTGAAAGATAAAGTTTAAGTTTATTCAGTCATATTCAATTGTACTGAGCATTTCTCAGCATCTCTGCACAATGCTGGAGCTGTAATGATATAATTTACCTCTTTGGAAAAAAATGGAGTTTATCGTGATTTTATTTACCGGAGTTTTAGTGCATTTCTTATTAAACTTTGTTAGGATAGCTTGACTTTCAAATTAATTAAAACACTACTGTTTGCCTTGTTTCCAAAAATACTTTGTTTTTAATATTGCAATCACTTAGCTAAGAGAAGTAGTAATTAAAGTTATTCTCAAGTTGCACAATTTAGTTTATTTAAAAATGCTTTATATAGTTTTTAGATGAAGTTATAAATGTTCACTTTGGAACTACCTGAAGATTAATAGTGATGCATTTGAAATGCATTATTTTTTTTATTGATTCTTAATGTAGTAAATTACTGAAGTTATTTGGCAGCAAACAGAAATAGCCAGTGATGTTGTTCACATTTATTTTCCTGATAGCGACACAATTTGCATTAATTGCATTGCAGCTGCACTCACTTATATTAAAAAGCTTCTACTATAATTAATCCTTTTTATTTCAAATCATTTTGGCACAATTTGGAGCAATAAACACTCATAAAAGACAGACACTTGAAAAATAACATACAAGTTTCTTCAATATACCTATTTATGTTTTTTCCTGACAAGGAATTATTGATAGGCTTCTAGGATCAAGTGTTGCAAGTGGCTAAGACTTAAGACGAGTTTGAAAAATGCTAAGTGGATTATTTTGCATAAAAAATAGACAGGTTTTGAATTTGTGTAATTAACCTGTGTTTAGAAAATACCTTGATTTATGTCTACATTTGTATTTCAGTTGCATACATTATGGAAATTTAATTTATAATCCATTTAGCTGATGTGATCATAGTTTTTAGTGCTATCATTTATTAGTCCTTGTATATTAAATGCTCTAAAGGCTTAAACCTGCCTTGTGTAAAAAATTACACCTCTACATTTACATTTTATGAGTCATAGATGGAATTCCATTTTAAATTCGGGTAGCTTTGATATATTTAAGGAATTACAATGGCTTTATTGTTACTAATGCAGGAACAGCAAACACTGACCTTATACATTGCAAATTAATGATTTATCCCTCTAGTTTGCTTTTAAAGTCAACTATACAAATGAGGATTTCGACTTCTACACCTTGAATAAATCATATAGCTCTAAATATAATGCACCCTTTGGCTTTGAACTTGTTATTCTCAATTCTTTCTGCAAGGTCTAACTCACCTCACAGAAACGTTCTTTCAAAAGTTTAAGGAATTGTGTATATTTTTCTTAACGTCTTTGTTGGAATATCATTGAGTGATTACAGCTACATTTCTTCTTTTTTCCTTTTTTTGCTCATTGTGCTTCCTTTTCTAAGTTTGCAGCAGATTATGGAGGAATTAAGTAATGGCAAAGCACTGCTCTTGAAGAGTAAAAAGAGAACAAACAATTATGTTATGTTGATGATGCCTTTTCTGATCAGCCTGGAAGTGATACTAATGACACTGTAAAGATTTGGTTGTCATTGTTAGAGATGCTGATGTGACAAACAAATTGGACAATGGGAAAGGCTATGCACAGACAGCATGTTTCAGGGATTTTTTTAAAGCCAACGGTCTTTTATTTTTCCTTTATTCATGTAGACTTTCTCTAACTGATGTCATGCTTTCTCTTTCTAGCTCTGAAGTTTCCATCTCTCCTTCTTTGGAGAGCTACCATAAGTACTTTTTTCTTCCAATCAACAAGAATTTGTTACTTATTGTATGAAAAATATGCAAAGTTGCTTTGCATTACATTGAAATGTGATCATACAGTAGATCAACCGAGAGTGGTATTGCTGCGGGTTTTGTGCATTTTTGAAAATTCTTGAGGAAACTCTTGGTTTACACTAAAAATAAATTTTTCATGAGTGCTGCAGATTCAGGTCAGGCTTGTTTTTGGTTCAGTAATCTTTTGACAGGTCTAACGGTGTCAGGCATAGGAAGGATTGGACATATGGTACAGGCATAACTGATAAGCTCTCGGCTTGGAAATTAGGATGGTTTGATGATGCCATTAAGCAGTAGAATTCACCAAAAATATGCGGCGATGAATCTGTATAACATGCAAAAGAAATAGTTTATTTGGATTAGTTTAAAATGTACTGGTTTTATATAGTTATTTTTAAGGGGCAGACTATTTTACATGTAGCAATTGATATGGATGGAAAAATATTGCTTATGACAATGCTAATGGCAGTAGAGATGCTAACTTTTTTTGGAAGACATTCTTGATGCAGTTGCATTGTCCTTTAGCAAACTTTGCTTTTCTTGCCAATCTATGCAATCGATATACTTGCTGTTTGCTATCATACTTCAGACCAGAAGATTAATGACAGCTAAGCAGTGACCTTACCTTCTAAATCACCACATAATTAATTTGTAAAATTTGGGAGCTTGGTATTTCACAAGGATATTCAAATCTCAAACTATGGTTGAATATTTTTAAATTTATGCAATATCTGGGCTATTGCCATCTCAGAAGATCCTATTCAGGCACCAAATTAAGGAGGAATTACCAAAAAGTTGAGAAATAGACAATAGCTTTCAGAATTCCTGCATGTACAACAATAAAATCTAATGTGCTTTTAATTGCTTTGTTTTTCAGGCTCTTTATGAAAATATGCTGGTGGAGCTGCCATTTGCTAGTTTTTTCCTCTCAAAATTACTGGGGACAAGTGCGGATGTTGACATTCATCATTTAGCTTCGTTAGATCCAGAAATGTACAAAAATTTGCTTTTTCTCAAGAGCTATGAAGGGGATGTAGAAGAACTTGGACTAAACTTCACGGTGGTAAATAATGACCTTGGGGAAGCGCAGGTAAGAATGGCTTTCGCTTTTTTTTTGTGTGACTGATGAATCCTTACTACCCCTACTAATTAATTTTTTAATTTGAAAGTGATAAGAAGGAACTGTTACAAGTGCTGTATGTTGTGAGGCATCATCGGGATTCTGACTCAGTCTTTGGAGTAGACAATAACTAATCTTGTGCTTAAAAAAAACCCCAACTCTTGATGATGATTTAAAGGTCTGGTCTTTTAAGTAGTAAACTACAGTGATTTTTTTATAACAGTCATACATGAAAATTTCTATTGCCTGAGATAATTTCTTGAACAAAATATTTTATGTTGTTTCTTTGATTGCACTTCAAATAATTGTAAAAGTTAGATGATATGTAAACTATAGAAGTACTGCCTAGTTTTGGAATTAGAGTTAGAAATCAGAATGGTTTTAAATAATAATGACCCTTTATTCTGAGGTAAGTGTTGTCTCCTTTAGCTGTAATTGTCAAAATAGAGGAACTGAAATTAGACCTTATTTTTTTTTTTTTAAATACCTTTTTTTTTTTTGAGGGTAAGTGTTGTCTCTCCTTTAGCTAATTGTCAAAATAGAGGAACTGAAATTAGACCTTATTTTTTTTTTTTTAAATACCTTTTTTTTTTTTGAGGGTCTGAGACACCAGGTCTCGGAGGGGGAGAAATGGGTGTTCAGTGCTTCTAAAAATTGGGCCAGTTAGTTAGGTCCTTAAATATGAAGTTTTAACGCGACTGTACTATATAATTAGATTATGGCTTTGATTTGCTCTGTTGTGAGTACTAAAGATCAGTTGTGCTCATAGTAGAAAATCAGTATCACCAGAGCTTTAGAAGTGTGCCTTTATTTGCTTCGGAGGGGGAGAAATGGGTGTTCAGTGCTTCTAAAAATTGGGCCAGTTAGTTAGGTCCTTAAATATGAAGTTTTAACGCGACTGTACTATATAATTAGATTATGGCTTTGATTTGCTCTGTTGTGAGTACTAAAGATCAGTTGTGCTCATAGTAGAAAATCAGTATCACCAGAGCTTTAGAAGTGTGCCTTTATTTGCTAATACAGTTAAAGTTTATTGTCATTTTTGCTTCCTCTTTCGTTTTTGAGGATTTAAAATTATGTACTACTGATGGCCTACTTGTACTTGATTATGGTATTTAATTAATAATTGGATCAAAAAGGTAGACCTGACAACATTGCGATATGCAGCAGCATCTGAATTCAGCCTTGTTTCTTGTGGAAGAAACAGAGACTATAAAAGGGGGTAAGTTCTGGTTTTGCCTGTTGGTCAGGGAAGCCTGGGACTATGCACATCTCACAGAAGCAGCAGCACCACTGTGATGGCAGCAGCTAGTCCTGGAAATTGTTAGGTTGAGTTCTCTGCTGCTGCTTAAATCATAGCAAATTTGATGTCCAAGACTTCTGCTTTAACAGCATCAGGCTCAGACTTTATCTTTACTCTTCTGTCATCCATTTCCTGTCATTCTGGAAGATCCTAAAACCTGGATTGCATTACAATTTTAAAATAGTATCCCCAGATTTGGGGTTCCTGAATCATACTGAAGGGGGAGAGTCAACAATTGCCTGATATAAGTAATGTTTCATATTAAACATATGCCAGGTGTCATTTTTTCCCCTGGGTTACACTCTCTATATGAAAACTTCTGACCTGCACTGTCTTTAGAAAAACACTCAAAAACTTGAAATGAAGGCATGTGATGCGGATGTATCAGAAAGCATGTTCTTGGAGCACCTACTCTATTGTACAGTATTGTACAGTAGAGCGCCTGCTCTGTGGTAGCATGTGCTGTTAAGTGACTGATACTGAATTGAGTTCTATAGTATCCATGTATTGGGTTACTAGGCTGCAAAACACACAAGATGGCGGTTTCCAAAATGTTATTTGTATTCTAAAGCCATTCATTTAAATGCACTTAAAGTAATAGTTTTGTTGATCGCAGCTAATACAAAAGTAGTTTAGTCGCTAATTAAAAATGAAAAGTAGCTAATATTTTCTGGAGAGCTGGTGGTTTCCATACTTTATACATCTATTCTGTATGTCCTCAAAAATTAGCCACACATGACAACCTACCTCAACAAGTAAGGTAGAAGGACATAGAAAAGAGAAATAGCTCAGAAATAACATACAAGGAGATCCAGTTAGAGATGTTGCCAGCTCTACCTACTGCAACAAAAACTTGTAAAAAGTGCATTCTTGCCAAGAAGCCTAATTTGTTCGTTAAAATTCTCTAAGGGCTATGGCTAGTATTATCAAGACTTCTGATTTTTTGATTGTTTGCATAATTTTAAAAGGAAGAGTAAATATAATAGTTTCTGAGTAACTAAATGAAATGTAAGTTAAATTAAATATTCTGATGCTGTATTGCTGTGTTTATACTTGGAGGGAGAACACTATACCTGTGAAATATTAACCATCTTTTAATGAGACTGCGTGTTAGTGTAGTTCAACAGAACTAATTTGTTCTTGTCACTGTCTTCTGTGTTGTAATGCAACAAGTTATTTTTTATACTTAATTTCATTACCTTAATAAACCTCATATGGATAAATACATTTTGTCTGGTATTTGACTCGTGTAGCCATTGCATACTAATTAATTGTGTCAAGGTAAGGCTAATTCACTTTGGGAAAAGAGCTTAATTTGCACTCCTTATGTTGAATGTACATTATCTCTAGTTTTCAGCTAAACAACCACTTTAGTGTCTAATAAATTAGTGCCCAATAAATGCATCATAAATCTATCATTGTAAATAGTTATCCTCGTGGCAGTGTCCATCCAGCAATTGTGGCACAAAAGCATTATCTGCAATGAAAGACACATTCAAAAGGGGCTCTATTGCCTCTGTCAGTAGTAGAAGGTAGAAATTCTATTATCAGCGTATTGATTCCAATCCTGTAATGCGCTTTTAGATCCCATTAAACTATTGTCAAAGTGCATTCACCAGAAGTTCAAAAAGGTACTTAATAATTTGCACATTAGACCTGCTAATTAGGGGAGCTATGCCATCAACCTTATCTTCCAACCCCAAATAGCTTTAGCTTTTGATAAAGAACTATCTAATGCAGTGATACCAGCCTAGACTTCAGCTGTTGGATCTGCTGCATAAAATGGTGGCCAATAAAAAAAGTCTCAAAAGAATGTCAGTCTATAGTTACAGGTGCCTTCAGGTAGCTGTGTATATTGATTTTATTTTTCCTTCTATCTTGTAGATTAGGTGGTGATAAAATGGTTATAAAATGCTTATAGCAAGTGTAAGGTTAACAAATTCAAGAAAATACCTCCTCTTTTCAGACCTCCCTCCCCCCTCTCTTTCAGTGAGGAAGGCGAGTTTTGTGGCTGCCCAAGGGAAGAGAGGAAGATTCAAATATGTATTACTCTTCCTTCAAAAATGTTAGATTCTGTACTCCAGCGAGTCTTCTCAAACATTGATTCTTGAAATGACATGGTTCGGAACAGTTGAATATGAGAAGACTCCATAATCAGAAGACTCCATAACTAAAGTGTAGAAGCACAAATCCACAGAAAAGCACTATAATATATATGGCAGCAGTTTCTGTGAAATCCATATAGTATAAAAGTTGGTGTCAGGACACCTTTGGCTTTTTACACAGATGTGAATGCCATTGTTGTTACTGAAAACATGTTGACTCACTAAAGGAGTGTTCTGTGCCTTTAAATTTCCCTGAGAGAAAATTTTGAAGCCTTAAAAATAATTCTGAAGGTTTCTGTCTTGGCAGCTTCTTTACTAGGATACAGTGGCTTAGAGGAATGATTTTGGAGGTTTTTCAGAAGCAAAATATTTAAGTTGAGGCTGATCCTTCTCAGGCAGATTTATAACACTTATGGCAAATGCGTTCTTAGGCATTCAAATGCATTCTGCTACCTGGAACTCCTGCCTGAACATCTGGAAGGCAGATGACAGGGAAAGAAAGCAAGCCTTTATCTACTTATTTTCAGAATGGGGAAAAACTTTAGGGGTGATGTGGACAAAAGTGATCAGAGTCCAAGCGAGAAGATAAAATCTTTTCATCTGTATTAAAAACAAGTTTGTAAGAGTTCTTGACTATCTAGAAGAGTGCTTTTTGAAACTGCACTGGATATATGTCTTATGTCTTCATATGTCACATACAAAGATTGCCTAGATGACAGGTCCTTTATTCTTTCCTAAAATATTTACCACTTTACCCTCTAAATATTCCCTTTTTCTCCTTCAGTTTGGGAAGCAATTGCCACTGCCAGATCTGAGTGAGCAGCAGCTAGCAAGTTTGTCTACCAACAGAGACTTGCTGTTGTCTGCCTGTAATCACATTACAAAGTGATTTTGTGTGACAGATTATTATCAATAAGCCAGAAGATAAATCCCATGAATTCTGCTTGACAAATACTGTTATTCACCGTTTCCCTGATTTTTGGTGTGCATTTATTTTATTATTATGCTAATGTTCAAAATAGTAGATATAATAACTGAAAATGATCATCTGAACCGTTCACTTGAACTGCAACCATACATAAAATAGAGATTTACTTTTTGTTTTTTTTTTTACAAACTGGTGGTTTTTTTAAATAAGAATATAAGTGTAAGTTGAGCGCATTTTTTAGTGTGTGCTTGCAGAAACATATAATTGAATTTATAGCCAAGAAAACTGTAAGTGCATGCAACTGTAGTTCTGAGTGTATCTAACGAAGTCAGTCAGAGGCCTAATGGAATACTTCTGTCCACATTACTAAAAGAATGCAAAGCACCTTTCCTTGCAGATTTTTAAAAATGTGGGACTTTTATGTCCCATTTTGATATTTCCCCTTCATTTTGAAGACATACTTTGTGAGTATGGAATCAAATTCAGTTTTCTGTGGTATTGTCTGAATGATCTCAATACTTATCTAAATAATACATATAATTTGCTTTTAAAATATTTGCTTTTGATCATGAACCAACTTAAAATGATTTTTTTTGTTTGTTTGTTTAAACTTAGATCTACAAAATAGAAAATAAGGTGATAACACAAGTCTGCACATTTTGGGTAGTTTTCTATTCTTGCCCATCCCGTGTAACCTGTGTTATTACCTTGCACCATCTAGTGGTCAAAATTGGATGGATAAAAATAAAAATGCAGGCTGATAATTCTAAATGTCAGGAATGATTGTTGAAGAGTTCCTTTTCAAAAAGTCCGCAACGCAATTTATTACATCTTAAAAGATTTAAGTCGGAATTCTACAATAGTCTCTTTAAAACGCCATGAAAACAACGAATGAGTAAAAAGTGAACTGCGTCTACATTTACTATTGTTTTTCTGCCAGCCCAAGCGTTACCATTTTCTGTCTTCTCTTTTACATCCTTCTTAGCCTTTATGGCATAATATATTTATTATTCCTGCTACATTAGCCCTTTTCTTTCAGACTGTGATGGTACTTTGACAAAATGGTGGTAGAATTAATCTCACATTGACAAACTCTGAAAATGGGTAGTTAGATCACAGGAAAACCCCAGGAAATTCGGTTAACTGAATGCGGTAGTCTTACTTGTGGCATTGCAGGGTTGAGGGGAGGAAGGGGAGCTACAGAAGTGTTGCTGGATCAGAAACCAAGGTTTGCTACTTAAAATAAGAATATAAAAATAAAAGCAAAAATAAAATTTTTAAAAAAATATTTTTTTCCTAGTTTCTAAAAATAGTGGTCAGAAAGAGTACAAAACTTTTTTTTCCCTCTGATTTGCAGGAGGAACATTGTAGGGAGAGAGAATAGCTTTTATTATAAAATGAATACAGCTTTCCCGACATCCTTAGACCACTGTGAAGACAATACTATTATAATGCAAACATAAGCGTAAATTAATCTGTGTTCTGATCTGTTATTTGCTGACCTGCAGGGAAGGTTAAACATTTTACTTCACCTAGTGCTGGGATGAATCCTAAAACACAGCAGTGTTCTAGAACACCCTGCCACTGGTTCCCTTTTGCTATTTTAGGAAGGAATTCAATTCAAGCTCCCCCCCCCCCAAAAAAAAAACCCCAAAACAGAGCTCACAAATTATTGTACACAAATAGAATAATAACTAGTTTTGTTTATTATTGGTGTCTATATTCTTAAGAGAAGCTTGATGAGTTAATTGATACAAATATGCTTTAATATGGCCAAATTCAGCGTATCCATACTTCAGTTGTATTTGGTGAAGTAGTGACAAAAGAACAAGTAATGCTGTTCTGCAAAATGAATAGGGAATATTTGTCAGTGGGCAGACAGCGAAGTATTAGTAGTGTTGAGGTCTCGGCAATGATCTGTTCATCTGGGATATCATTGGTAGCTCTGATCCTGTAACACTACGGAGGACAAGGATTTAAATAGTAAGAGAAAGCTTTCTGGTTTTGTTAGGCCTTGTAAAAGGGTATTTTATAGGAGGAGACTAAAGGAACCTGACTTCCTTTAGTCCATCGAAAAAGACTCTGGGAAGATTAATGAAGTTGCTGCCCATAAGTAATGCATTGTGGATATAATTGAGGCGGAAGGAAAGAGCTGGTTAAGCTATGGGACAATATTGAAATAAGAACAGTGGGTATTAACAAACTTTACCCATTGGACTCACAGTGGAAATCAGAATGTTTCTAATCATTAGATAAATCCAATTACTGACTAACTTTTCAGTGACAACAGTAAAACTACTATAGTGGGATGAAACACAGTACATTGTAGACTGCATTGCTGCCTGCAGTAGCAGAGGAGAAAGCTTAGCAGCGCAGGGGCCCCTTCTCATCAGATGTTTCCATTGCGGTGTGGAACATGTCCCATACTTCTATTAATACTCCTTGTGGACTTGACCAGTAAAAACATCCTCACCCTCAGGCCAATCGGTGGCACCAGGTACTGCCCTGTACCCCCTAGACTGGCCGGCTGCATTGCATGCCAGGCTCCGCAAAGGGTGGACCCCAGAGAAAGCTATCCTGCCTCTTGTGTCCATGGTTCCTGTTGAAGGGGACTTACTCGGAAGCGAGCGAGCTAATGTGTGCAGGGTATGAAACAGTGTCAGCTAAACTGTGACACCTTCATTTTACTTCATTCTTCAGGGAGTAGCATTTAAGCATAGTCAGTACTACCTGCACACAGACATGGTGGAGTATTGATGAGGTTTTTTTTACTGTAGGCGTAACAAAAGCAAGAAGCTTGCATTGAAGGATTAAAGTGAGAAGTAAGACAGATTTTTAACACCTATTGTTATAATTCAGGTTGTCCTAGCTTATCAAGGAAAGTGGTAAATACTCCATCACATAGAGTCTTTACACCTGAATTGCCTGTCTCTCTAAAAAATGTGCTCTAACTCATCTATGGATTTATTGAGTTAAATACAGGAATCTCTAGACAGAATCCTCTGGCTCGTGTTATCTGGGAGGTCAGATTCACAGATCTTAATGTTTTCTCTTGGCCTTAAAAACCTGTGAATCAAGTAAAAATCTGAATGCTCAAAAGCACTGCGAATTTTTAATCTTACCACTTAGCATTTCGCTTTGTACTGGAACAGCTCACATTATTAGGTGGCATGTTACAAAAGAAGCTATTTGCGTGTTTAATTCTCTGTGCTCTGAAGATGTGATCATTACCACAGACTGAAATACAGATTTATTTAGAACAAAAATAATTAAAAATTGCTGACTTTAGAGTGTAGAAAAAACAAACTTTTTTCTGAAGGCTTCAGAAAGTGGCTGTATCTCAGCTTTTCAATTTTTTTATCATCTTTTTAGTACTGAAATAATCCCTTCAGATTTGGCTACTGCTCAGCAAAATTACCATCTTGTAGTAAAGGGTAGAATATGTAAAGGTCAGTAGTGTTTTAATAACTACTGTTGATTCTGGTTTATAGCTTAATGCAATTACAGTGTCTTTGTTTTGTGGGTTTTTTTTAATTAAAAATTCTTCCATGCTGAGGTATCTTGGTGTACTTGAAGGACAAAAGCTTCTCAGCAGACAAACAAGTTTAGGCTTGATTTTTTTTTTTTTTTTAAATTTTTTTGAAAGTACTGAACATGTATAACTTGGATTTTCAGCAGTAGGAATTGTGGATGCTTATCATTCTGTAAATCAGGCTTGTATCAGAATCTTAATTTTGACTCAGCGGACATTGCTTTTTCCATAATGTGGTCCTGCAGAATTCACGATCACCAATTAGAGAAGAGCCTAGCCAGTCAAGCACAGTTTTCCTAATCCAACTGGAAGGAGTGCTGCGTGTGAGATCTGTGCTTATACAGGTTACTTTCTCTTCCAGAGCACTTACTAGCATCAGTGAAGCTAGGGATGAGCCTGCCAAGGGGAAGATTCTCACCTCAGTTTCTGTCTGACTTGCAGTGGTGAATTTAGTATTACACGCTGTCTCCTATAAAAGAGCTCTGACTTTGCCGAATCCACTTTCTGGTAATAAACCACAGGGCCATGTGGTCAGCTGGAGGTCTAGGTCTAAAAACTGGATGCCATATAATGTGCTCTTATGAGTAAACAGAAAAAACCCTACCTTTATAACTTGTAATCTTATTTTGAGGTGAATATTCTTCAGTATATTCTAGTAAACTTCAAATATATACATCACTTACTAGAATGTTTTGCAGTTCAATTTTACGGTTACAGCACACAGAACTAAAGTTTACCAAGATGATGAAAACTGTTACGTTTATAGGTGGTTGAGCTGAAGCCAGGTGGAAAAGACATTCCTGTTACCAGCGCTAACCGAATTGCGTACATTCACCTGGTGGCAGACTACAGGTTAAACAAACAAATTCGACAGCATTGCCTTGCTTTCCGTCAGGGACTGGCCAATGTTGTGAATCTTGAATGGCTTCGAATGTTTGATCAACAGGAAATACAGGTACTTCTCTTAAAACTGCAGAAAACAATTGCTTTAAACTGCAAATAAATGTTAATTTTTGCCTGTAATGTAATTGTCTAATTTTCATCACTATTAGGTTTTGATTTCTGGTGCCCAAGTACCTATTAGTTTGGATGATCTTAAATCTTTCACAAACTATTCAGGTAAGTATATTTTACTTAAATTAAAAAATGTATTATGACTGATTCAGGAATAAATAAATTTGCTTTCTATCACAGCTTTTTTAAAAAAGTTGTAAGGTTATTCTTGTTGTTAACTTTGGTCAAACTCTCTAGACAGGCCTGAATTTCAGAAAGTTGGGTAAAATTACAACCTAATTTTATAAATGCTGGGAGATACAGGTATGCAGGTTATTTTATTCACACATTTAAATACAAGTTTATAGCCAGATAATTACAAGACATGGAATTCCTTTTCTAAATGGATGTTAGTCAATGGTTGTGTCTGGTTGCCCTGAAAATAAGTCTGCAAATGACTTTGGGATGGTTGTTTCTACCAACTCATTCAGATACTTACCATTTCTCAGATAGCCTGAAGAGAGAGCTCATATTTTTCCGTGTGAGAAATGCAAGGTATCTTTCTTCAGTTATCGTGAATGTAATAAAAAAAAAAAAAGCTACTATATCATCAGTTCACATTCTAGCTTACCTCTAGGTAAGTTGATTCATTAAATAACATCCTGAGTCTTGCAGATTTTACAAACTCTTGCAGTAAAAGGCAGTAATCCAAAGTTACTAGGTAAATGCTAAACTAAATAAAATTAATTTAAAATAAACAAATAGGATTCAGTGAAGAAAACTGCAGTTAAAAAGCTGAGGGAGATAGTAGCCATAGGTGAGCAATGAATGAGAAACTCAAAATGTAGTGATCAAAGAGATCTATAGGTAACAGAAGTCAGCAATCTAAGCCTGCTGGTTTCAATATTTTCCCTAAGCTTTTCAAAACTGATGCTAGGTTTTCTGAAGAGTTTCTTTCTTACATAAAACTATTCTATCTGTAAATCATTTAAATCTCATTATAGGTGGCTACACAGCAGACCATCCTGTAATTAAAATATTCTGGAGAGTTGTAGAAAGCTTCACTGATGAAGAGAAACGCAAACTACTCAAGTTTGTAACAAGCTGCTCTCGACCGCCTCTTCTGGGGTTTAAGGTATACGTATTCCCAACTTCCTGGCAAATTTCTATAAATACTACAGATTATGATACAAGTTTTTCTTGTCTGTAGGAATTTACAGTTTGAGAATGTCCCTCTGTGACTACAGAAACAGCTTCAGTGTTTGCACTTGTGTGTATAATGAGTATAGTTTTAAAATATTTAATGAAATGTTGTTCTGTTGTTTTCTATTTCAACTGCAAAATTTGATAAGCCTAAAAGCACATTGGTTAGAGCACTTGCTCTTTGTCATGGAAGATCCTTGCTGCCATTTCATGTTACTGTACAGAAGCAGTACTGCTACTGGTTTCAAGGAACAGGTTAAGAATAATGTCTTCAAAATCAGGCAAAAGAGGATTTAGGATATAAAAGCAGCTATTAAATTTGAACCTGTTAAATTAACTGTTTGAAGCAGGAGATGTATTGTTTCCTTCTAATTACCATTTATCTACTTAACAGGGTCACAGCTCATTACCCTTTGTATCTAAATATTTTGCTGCTATCTTTAGATTGCTATTTACACTGAAGCTTAAGTGTGAAGAAAACTTTTGTCTATTGCTTATAAAACTAAAGAGAGGCCGAGGCAAATTGAAGACATTTTGAAATTAAATTCTGGGGATATTCTACCCATGAGTTTCAGTTGGGCTGCAAAATTCTGGCTAAGAACCAGCCATAGACTTCATTTGCTCTAACATGTGGGAACATTCAGTGCTTTTCTTTAAGAAAATAAAATGATAAATTGCTTCATAGCGACACCATTGCCTTTAGTGCAGTGGTCATCAGCATGTTTACTGTTGTACTATTTAATAAAATTAATATGAAGGTGGGTTTATGTGGAACACAAATATAGGTGTTGCGTCCTCCAGTTGTTTACAAATAAGAATAAGACTTGTTGCTAAACGAAATTCGAGTACATATACTTAGTAAATTTTCACATTATAAGGTACTGTGATACAATATTTAATTAGCAGTGGATAGTAACTAATTTCCTACATTTATAGGTAAAATAGGTAGATGAACCCATAGGAAATGAATGCAGGTATTGTGTAAGTCCTGAAGGTTTATTAGCTGTTCTGTACAATAATTCTATACTTACTCTCTTTTCTAGTGGTGTGAATGAACATTTTCTCGTTATAGAAATATTTCAGGGACAGCTACTAATATTTTATATAGGAACAAGGAATTCAGATGTGCATAATAGTCTGGAGGTAGAAACAATATATTTGAGATTTTGCACAATTTTTTCCTGAATCATACTGTGAAAGTTCATTCTGGTTTTTTGTTGTTGTTGTTTGGGGGGTGTGTGTGTGTTTGTTTTTTTAATCAGCATTAAAAAAAAATTTAAAAGCAAATGCTAGAAGAATTTCTTCACAGCTGTAGGAATTGGGCCCTTTTTTGTGACATGTCCTGGGGGTGACATGTGATAAAGATATCAAAAGTAAAAAATGAAACAAAACCCCCCACCTTTATCTTCCACACAAACAAGTTAGATGTTTGTAGTATTTAACACTGTGTTTCTTCTTCAAACTTTTGATGATTTACTTTTTTCATAAAAACAGTTTTCCTCTGGAAAATAGACAAAAAGATACTCTGATACTGAAATCACAGTGGTCTCTGTCAGAGACCTTTGCCACTTCAATGATTTAAAATATATAAAAGCGTATGTGGGCTGTCATACAGTAGTATGTGGCTCAGTTGCTAGAGGTGACGAAATACTCCTCCCAGTAGCTTAAACAGCTTTTTTTTTTTTTTAGGCTGCAGAGCGATTTTGAAGTGGAAGAGTTGTTTCTAGTGCCACATTCTGCAGGGAAGCGTGGCCCTTTTCCCTTGACTTCCGTTTATCCCCTTATGCTGCAACTTCACGTTCTCTTCCCTCTTGAATCCTTTTGTTTATTTTCCTATTTCTTCCTAAGCTGATACGGATATGCAGCACTGCCATTGCAGCATGTGATTGTTTAAACCTCCCTTTGGTACAATTGTTCTGTAACTCTCTGTGCAGTCTCACCCTCTGCATAATCCCTTAAGCTGCTGTAGCAAGTGCTGTGTGGTGCTGTTAGCATGTGGATAGGCAACGTATCCTCCATCTTCGATACCTATAATCTATAGCTCAGCTACGCTCCTTTTATAGGCACCTAGGAGAGGAATTGGCACTTACATGGAACAGTCAAATTACCGACTGAGTCTACTTCAGGATGAAATGAATCTTGTCTTAGACTCCACAAAACATACTAACTAGATCCCCTTTAACAGTAAAGAGTGTCCGGTGTGACTAGATTTGGATATGGAGACAACGGGGATGGCTGTTTAATCACATGAATCCTATCTAGGGTGTTCATTGATTGATTTGTGTGATTGATTATTTAAAAGCCTGCAAGCATTTCTCTTAAACTGTCCAAGTCTGTGTGAATATCACTGTACAGTACTCTAGCAACAAACAGGATTTTATAGGACAGTGGGAAGAACAATTAGAAAACTGTGGGATGAGACCAAGATAGAACAGTGCACATCAGTCATGTAATGAAGGAAGAATTGGGAAACAATTATGTGGAAACAAAGTAAAGAGAAGTCTCCATTTGTTGTCATCATTTTTAATTACAAGGGGAGAGCAGGAAATGCAGATGTAGTTACCCAGCTTTGAGGTAGCCAGTGTGACATTTGAAGAGATGGAGGAAGTGAATCAAAAGTCTAAAAATATTAAGGCTGACAGTGACACATTAGAAAGAAGCCAAATGAGGAAAGCTGAAGTTTGTGTGTGTACTTGGGAGATAGGCCACAACCTGACTTCAACATACTTGGCTAGGAAAAATGGAAGTAAAATAGTCATCAAATTTTCAGCATGATAGCAATAAGTTAAAAGATTAATTCACTGTACAGCGGACTTGCGAGCTCAGCCGCATGCAACAGAAGAGAAAGCAGAGTGAAAAGGCATTACTGCTGCTTTGCTGGGCAGCACTGAGTGAGAGTTAGGTCACTACTTGCATGGTGCTTGCAGTAGTATCTCGTTACACGGATTTACCAACAAACCAAGGGTTTTCCAGGAAATGTTTGCCAGAGAAGGAAGTGGGTAACTGGTATTGTCGTCAGCAGTAATGTCTTGGTAGCCTATGACAGCGTGGTGTTTAGAGCTTTGAAGGTGAAGAGTGCGAAGCTGCAGGAGCGCTGAATATTACCGGCCAAATAACTGTCTGAATATATTTATGTTGATGGTAGACATTAACACAAGCTATCTTCAGAATTTGTTTACAGTTTTAATATGTGTACTGTATTTTTCTGAGAGGAACACAATTTCTGGTTCTCACTCTGAAATCTTCTGTACGCTTTATATTGTGGAACCTTCACGTTTTCTTAGTGCATGTTAATTTAAGATAAGGAAATGTCTTGACATTCATAGCTTATAGATAGCACAGTCTAGCTTTGCATCATTTAAAAATTTTAAACTCTCACTGCCAGATTCAGACTTAGAATAACATTTACTAAAGCTAATTAAAGTTTAATAAGTTTAATAAATGTGATTGTTACAGACAAAAAAAAAATCATTAAAGCGTGGTTGAAAATTGTTAAGTTCCAATCAGGTCACATAATAAATTGATGATACTTTTCACTTCCAAACTATTGCAGTTTCCTGCTGTACAGTATTTAATTATGCAACAAATGGTGCCCTCAGCATGACATTTCAATTTAGAACTTCATTTTTCCATTTTTAAAGCTAAAGTAGGGGAATTCAATTAGCATTTTGAAAGGAACACTAAAAATGCAGCATTTTAGCTATGAAATACTTTTAAGGCCTCCATTTGAGCAATAATTTAGCTTAGAATCTCATTGACCTTTTGCCTTTGGAACTGAGATTTTTTTTTTCCCAGTTTCTAAAATCGGAACTGTTTTACCTCAGGCAAGCATTTGATAAAATGCATACTTTCTTGCCAGCAAAAGCAGTGCTTTAGAGGTAACAAATAAATACATTTTTCACTATACTTTTTCTCAGAAGAAAAAAAAATCAGATATTATTAAAACAATTAAATATTACATACAAAATGTCTTAAAAGTCTGTTCCTCAGATCAATAGTTACCACATCAGAAGAATAATCAGGGTTTGACAAGTTTATACCATTACAGACTCACTATGCACATCAATATCATCCCAATAACAGCTGAGTGACTTTATAATCACTCTGTGAAGAAACACCAAGTAGAATAAAGTTAGATCTTTGTGTGGAGAATATAAAGTACCTCTTGATTCGGAGTTCTAGAGCATGGTAGTGTAAGTACTCGCTTAATCTTACAGATGAACAGATCCACTGAAGTCATTAGTACTGTTGTCTTGAAATTCATAAATTGTAGGCTTGCTGAAAGATTAGTTTAGACAGAAATCCCTTTAGGGCAAGAAATGTCTTTAGCATTGTATCAGATAATTGATTTTAACAAAGAAAATATCATTGTATATTGTGGTGAGTAGAAGGAAAATGATGGCTTGATACTCATCCACTTGAAGAATTTATTTTATATATCTGGGGTATGCTAACAAACTAAAGCTCTAGAAGGAAAACACTGAAAGGATATGTTTGATCATTGTTTGTTTATTTGTTTGGGATTTTTTTTTTTGGCTGTCATAGAAAGAAATTGATGTAGTACTGTAACTTTATCAAATTTGTTCTTAGATCTGGTCACTCATTCATTCTTTCTCCTAAGAGCATCACTTTAACATGGCAAGTAAATGCTTGTGTAGAACTTGTGTGTAAAATTGGAATAGTTTTAAACTCAAACAGAAGAATGTTGTAACTGGCATAGCACATCACTTCATTAGCTAGAGCAAAATTGTCTTTGTTGGGATTTTTGTGTATATAGAAACAATGTCTTCCTTGCCTGGAAAGAAAAAAACAAAGTATAATTCTCAGAAGAAGCCATCTCATTATACAATGACAAATATTATATGTCATTCAAACACAACAGAACATCCTTTTCCATTTACAGAATCATAGAATAGTTTGGGTTGGAAGGGACCTCTAAAGGTCATCTAGTCCAACCCCCCTGCCATGGGCAGGGACATCTTCAACTACATCAGGTTCCTCAGAGCCCCATCCAACCTGACCTGGAATGTTTCCAGGGATGGGGCATCCACCACTTCTCTGGGCAACCTGTGCCAGTATTTCACCACCCTCAGCGTAAAAAATGTCTTCCTTATATCTAGTCTAAATCTCCCCCC